TTTCGAGGATGCTAATGAACGGAATTACATTCGTCCTTTCTCTTTGTTAGGCAGAGTAGTTCTCATTCAATGTGCATCATTGCATTACCACTAAACTAAAAACATCTTTAATCTGTTGGGTCTGACGAAGGAAGGGAACAATATATGAAAATAATAATTAACTGTTTAATTAAAACTCGGCTTGATTAAATTTATCAATATATTAAACCACACTTTCGAACAAACCCTTTCACAAAATATCTACTTAATCAATGCATTTTAGACTCAATGTGTATCAGCAAGAGTTAAAGTGAAAGGCATGCAAACAACAACGTGTCATATCATGTAAAGAGTCGCCTATACCATCTAAATTTCCATTTGTAATATTTTCTCAGGAAACCTAAATATCACTGAACTTAACGGAATAAAACTCAAAATCAATGAAATTGTATAATAAGAATAATTTAAACCTTCATATTCCTTTTCAATCTTCTCAAGTTACATATCTTAGTGTGCTTAATTTGTTATGCAAATATTCATACAACAATAGAATTAAAAAAAACAAACACTCCAAGCTGATGTATTACCTTTAAATCAGGGCGTACAATTAACAAACGATTACCTCACTTTCTTAACTGCAGCATTCTGCGACAGGACGTGTGATGAACGCCTGTACGGGACCACGCAGCAGGAAAACAAAACGGCGGACGGTTCAGAAGTTCGAGTGCAACATTTTTCCCCGACTGCCAATTACCCTTCTCCCTTCATCATCCACAATCCTCTCTCCGTCCTCTCTTTACCTTTCCCCCAACTCAATTTACCATTCTCCTTTCGCTCTCTGCCCTTTTGTCTCCACTTTCCTGCCATCGCCTTCTGTCCTTCACTTTTCACCCACCACCCGTCGTCTTCCCCCATTTTCTCTCTGGTCTCCAAATATCTCCTTCAACCTTCACCCATTACCTTGGTTTCTTGGCCCACTGCCCTTCGACCTTGTCCGTTCATCCTCCCCTTGCCCTTCCGCCTTTTCCTTCGCTCTTCTACAATTGCCTTCGATCCTTTATCCTTCTCCGTTCCCCCCTCGGCCTCTTTCCTTCGTTGTCCGACCTTCGCCTCCGTTCGCTGTTCGCCTTCTGACTTGGTTACTCCAATCCCGTGTCTGCGGAGTTAGGTCGGAAGCGAAATCTCGCACCGCCTTTGCCTCAGCGAGCAGGCTGAACGTAGCGAGCGGCAAAACCCCAGCGGAGCCTAGGCAGAACGCCGCCCCGCCCCACCCCGCCCAACTCCCCGCCCGCCCGCCCACCCCGCCCCACCCCGCCTCGCCCCACCCACTGCCTTTGGCCGCACCCCGCCGCCCCAACCCGCCGCTCGATCCGAGGCCCCGCTCCGCCGCCCCGCCACGCTCCGCCACCCCTCGACCAGCCAACCAGCGCGCCCACCCCCCGCCCTTCTCTGTCGCCCGCCCCTTGCCCTGACCTGCCATCCTCCCCACACGTTCCTCTCGCATATACCCTCGCCCTGGCCCCGCCCCTGGTCCCCGCCCCGCGCCTCACCTTTGCCCCCGTTCCTACCCCACCAATTCAACCGCGTAACTATCTCAGTACTTTGCTCCTTGTGAGCTCGGCGGATGTTCAATAGAATCATATCTTTGAAATCCCTCTAGAAATCTATGTCTTCCGAACTGTACCATCTTTGAATGTCGCCCTCTCGCGCTTTTGAATTCCCTATCTACACAACAATCTCTCTTGGCTTTTCCACCGCTCCCTCTTTCCTGCTCCCACTATCACTTTCCTTTTCAAATATACTCCTCTCGCATCTCTTTCCTTATGTCCTGTTCCGACCCGGTCTCTCGGCCAAAAACCAGTCCCCAGGATATTCTTTTGGCGGGATCTGAGCGTGAATCGTCGGCTGTGAGGGGGGCTCCGAGCGGAGCGGAATATTCGATCGGCGTCCGCCAGCGTTCCGCCGTGCGTTTGATGGAGAGCGCGTGCCGGCGCGGCGGCGGCCAGTTGCGCGTTTGTCCCGCGGCGCGCCCGCGCACTGGCCCGCCGGCGAGGGTGCGCGGGGGGGGCGGCAGGCGGAGGCCCAGGCGCGTGCGTATGCTGAGGGGACCGCCCCGCCCACAGGCGGTCGCTAGCCACCGGCTCCCCGTCGGCGCTGCCGCAGGCTCCTTCCGCCCGCTGCACCGCCGCTCTCGCCCACCTTTCCACAAACACTCTCCGGCCCCGTTCCCTCATCTCGCATCTCTTCTTGATTGTGCCCGCGGGTGGTGGCTCAGGGCATCAGCTGTTATAACTTCAATGACTCTGTACACGTAAGCTTCAGCGGCTCGAGTTCATGTCTTCTTGGCTGTCCGGGTGACTCCGCGTCGTTGACTGAGAGGCCTCTCAGCCGACGACGCGGCCTCACCCGGACAGCCGAGAAGTCACTGCAATGACTCTGGCTAGGAGATCCTAGGTTCGAATCTCGACGGTGGCAGGATTTGCGACACTAGCTAGATAGCTAAGCCGAGTTCAGTCACTGTTTGAAGATGAATTCTAGCATCTTTGCTGATCTGATAGGTAGTTTTCCGTGGTTTCTCCTATCAACACCGGGCGAATGCCGGAGCAGTACCTTAACAAACGAGCCACGGACTGGGCGCGATCTTCACTTTCTCTTTCTTGCCCTACCCTTATTTACGCACACTTTTACATTATGTAAGAGTTAAGGCATCCATTACGGACTATTCAAACGCAACGATGAGCGCATTAGATGGGGTAAAAAGAGTCACGGAAATGTGACTGCGGCAAAGAAACGCCAACGATCCGGAATATTGGGGAAAAAAGTGTGACGTTATAACGAATCATTCAACAATTTTCTTGAGACAGAGCCGTCGGAATTTAGCTCAGAGCTAGCATCGTCACTGTCTCTGCTGCGACCCTCACTGGGAGGTCCTAGAGATTGAGTCCCATTGGTGTCGGATTGTCGATACGTTCTCGATAGCTAGCTTGAATTCATCCTGTCTGGAAAAGCTTTCTAGCGAGCAGTTGCTTTGATCGGTAGTTTTACGTGGTTTTTCCGACCAGCACCATATGAATTTCGGAGCACCCTAACAAATGGACCATGTCCCACGTTCGATCTTTCCTTCATCTTCCTTGTTCTATCATCTCCCATCGCCTGCACGCATTTGCACTTACATGTACTGCACTAGCACACATATCAAGAGCCTAGCAGGGACTAGAGGAGCTTTCAACGGGTCTCGACTGGGGTGATACCACAGTGGGGGAGATATCTGGGGTGGGAATTCTTCTGTAAGCGAACGTGCAGTTCAACATACAGTGGGTGAAAAACTCTGCCAACGATAGAATTTATATATTAACTACACTTATGGGAGTAATGACCCTAGCAGTTGATGTGTTCGGAAACACTAAATAAAGCCATAGAAAGCACCAGAAGCGACTGCCTTCTTGAAGAAAATAGATCAACGATATAATTTATTGTTATTCAGTTATTTGGTATAGGAGAAATAGTCATCTCTTCCAGTTTATATTTGTCCAAGATTGGAAGAATTGTCGAAACAAAACTCATTAAAATGCAAATTGATCCAAGAAATGAAACTTCTCCAGTGTAAGAAAAATATTAAATGTTTGGAGCGAATACTGTTGTTCAAAATTTTGTTTCGTTTCGATCTTCAAGCAAGATCGCTTACCATCCCTATCTCTCTATATCTTACTTTCTATCTTTCTTTCTCTTCCTATTTCTCTATGACATTCTATTTCCCCTCTCCCGTTCTTTTATCTTTCCGATGCCGTATTCTTCCGCCACCAAGCAGCGAATTGTGCTCAGGAAACCGTCTATGAGGTTTGTGTATTACAATGGGACGTCAAAAGCCCTCATCCCTTCCCTCCAGTGCCGGTGCTCCCCGGAGGATGCACCTCACATCCGGGAAGCAATGTGGCATGCAGCGACGGGAAATACGCCGAAAGCGCTGAATGTGTAGTCTCGCTGTCAGAGATCAAAATAGCTACGTATTGAAATGTCTTCTCTGTTACAACGATTCAAAGCTTTTGCGCAATTCTTCAATTCTAAAATACCGACGAAACTAATTCCCAGATGTTTTGCCCGTAAGAAAATATAATTACTTTATATCCCTTCCAAGTCCAAGATTGGACCACATGAATGGTAGCGACCTACTACTTTGCTTTACCGGGCAATGAAGGTGAATTTGATAATATTCTTTGTGATGGTGTTTTATGGCAAATTGGCTTTGCTTTTTACGCCACAAACATATGAGGAAATCCACCATTATCATTGGCGATATTGTAATGAACATTCATAGGTTCAGTGATGCGCAGGTCGAAATACACATAGTCGAACGCGCTAATCGAACTAGTCATATTTGCCACCTTGTCAGTAAGCGAATACTATCTGGTCTACAGGCTTCTCAGAATAAATGTTACAACTTTCTAGAACGTGTAGAGGTGTCGAAAACGATAACTTTTTGTCAATGAGCGTATTATGCAAAATTGCATATAATGGAGTAATATGTATTTATGCAGAATGTATTTGCACTTATACAGGAGGCAAATCTCTTTGTCTGCGTCAGAACGTGACCAATGTAACATATGTGCGTAATGCGTTGCGACGAAATCAGAGGGGTAACACACTCACTTATATGAAATATCCCACTACATGGTCATTGGTAAAAAAGTAGTCAGTCGACCCTTACAGAAGTTAGTAACATTTATTCTAAGAGAGATGTGAAAATTGTCTACAACATTCAGTAATCATTTTATTCACTTGCGGATCAACATTAATTGCTATATGGGAAGGAGCTGGATGATACTCTGTGATTTAACAATAAAATGATTCTAATTTCCCTTCCCATTACAAATCTACATTCAATAAGAACTTACATCTTGCAGTGCACTCCACGTTCCATTCATTTTCCGTCCCACAAAGTCCGTTTGCCCCTAATTTCGTCTTCCTGTTATAGGCTGTTCCCTCCCGCTTTGCCTCATTCTCGCTTTCACTGGCTGCCAAGTTTATCGCGCCATTTGCGCACTCCATCGCTTCGGTATTTCCGCCGCCTCCTCCATCTTAGCGACTTCCCCGGCCCGCTCCCCATCGCCACCCCCACCCCAGCCGCCCACGTCTGCGTCCTCTCCGCCATCCCGCTCCACGCCCCCCCCTGCAACTCCGCTGGGCTTCGCCTGCGGCCTCCGCGACGAAGGAACCATCCAATTTTCTTTTCCCCCAAAGCGGGCGCATCGGGGAGTGACGGCGCCGCGCTGCACTCCGCTTCCTCCGACGAGCGCGGAATGTGCTGTCGGAATTTGATTCATCGCGCTCCCCCAATTCTGCGGGATGCAAAGGCCGTTAGTTAGTCGTGGGTATTTTGCGGCCTCCACTTGCCGGGCGCGCGGGGGTGGAGCAGGGGTAGCGGCGGCGGGCGGCGGCGGAATGGGGTGGCGTCGGCGGAAGGGGCGGCGGGGCGGCATGGAGCGGTATGGGGACGGGGACCAGGCGACGGGCTGATTGGGCGGCGGGGCTGTGGTGGGCAGCGGGGGCGGTGTGGCGCCGCGGGGGCGTGTGGCGGCGGGAGAGCGGCGCCAGCGCGGAGGTTGCTTGTTCGCTTGCGGCGATTCGCGCCCTTGAAGAGTTTGCGAGCTGACTCGTGTTGTCTTGCCGCTGTCATTCTCGCGCTATTCGTCCTCTTGCCGTATACAACAGCTTCATATGAAATTCGAGACGGAGTTCAGCAGAGTCTCTAAACATCGTCTGCAGGAGGGCGCTAGCATGTCGCCGCTTTGTTCAATTAAACAATGGATGAAATTAATTTTGGTATGTACACACGTATTAGGTAAATTAACTTTTGTACTATTAAAAAATATTTTTCGTGTGCCTCTGTCAGCATTTGTATGTAGTATTACTTTGCGTCGACCTGAACGCTGGGGTTTTGTGAATACGATCTGTTTAACAAGGCATTTAATTTATATTTTACAGTGTAATTAATAACTACTACTGTTCACTATTACTATCTACTACTATTCTTTTTGAACTAGCGTTAGTTCTGAATCACTTTTGGTCTTCTCGTCTCGTCGTGTTACAAAATTTCATGTTTTTCATATTATCATTCCCCCTAATATCTGAAGATACTAGCCCACATCATCCGCACACTGCAATTTGGATCTCATTGCTTGTTTTGCTAGAGTCTGTTCTATAGTCTAATATACTTATCTTTGACGTGGTGATTCCTGCAGGTTATCCACGTGGAATCGAATGGGAAGCACTAGCGTAATGACAATATTTATGGAGGATATAGGTGAACAAATATTTAAACACGAGGCTAAAATTAATAAGATAATGATTCAATATAGAATTATGCATTTTGACGCTTGCAGAATGATTGAGTAACAAGAAACATGTGCATTTGAGAATGATACTGTGTAATAATACCCAATGGATTAGTGAATTATTTACCGCAGATGAACATTGACAATGTGAAAACAGTAGGAAAATACTGGTAAAGAGGTATGATAAAATATAGGATACATTCCAAATATCTTTTATTTTTAAGTTCAAAAACGTACCAAGATCTTGAATGACTAAGAGATGTTCCAAAGCAAATATATTCCTTCGTATCGGCCGGCAATATAAATTCCATGTCTGGAATTCAAACCCATCGGCATTACCATCATCATCTCTTCGTCAATTTCCAATTTATGAATCTGTTAATCAATATGGATGCATAGGCAATGAGAACCGAGATTAAATACCGTTGTTGATGGATTCCAAATGAAGAGGCAATGTTTCACGTCACGCGGGCAGGCGGGGTGGCTAGGAAGGTAGCCGAAGGAATAACTATCAGGAAAACGAAAAAATAACGGCGCCCGGAGATCAAATATTGATTTTATTTGTTACTTCATAATTTATATTACTGAAATATTTCGTTAGCCGGAAAATGTTATTATATTTCCGTAGATATTATATTTCCGAAAATAATAAATACTTGAAGTACTTTTAACAATTTCATGATAAGAGAGGTATTTGATACGAGACTATTTTATGCATTCTACTGTCCCTTACAGCCCTTACAAATTGCTCACTGGCACTATTACTTTCTAGTTTAGTTTGTAAATCACAATAAAAATGGCGATTTTCACTAATAGCGGCAAGTTAAGAAAAATGGTTTTGAATTAAGAATATACGAACACAGACTAACTTAGTATTTACACTACGGAAGTTTGACGCAAAAATTTACTTTTCAATAGTTTTACTTAAATTTTTAATTGAAGAACATCCGTTTGATTGCATCTGTACATATATAAGCAGTTTATAATAATGATTTCTTAAATTTACGATCCCGAAAATGTTCATAATATAGCAGTTTAAACGTTCAGGACATTATAACAGGCTTTTATTATAAGATGAGAACGAAAATCCGTTTATGAGAAAGAAATGTATGTGACAACTTTAAAAATATTGAAACAAATGGTTTACTGGATTCAATAAATAATAGTATCACAATTTGTGTGGTTCTTCTATTTATTGTAACGAGAGTTTTATTGATAAAACAGATATAAACGAAACAATATACTTCTATCAATTATCATAACTTCAACTGATGAAAATCACAAACTGATTTTTGATTGTTAAACTGAAGAAGAAGATGAGGAAGGAGAAAAATTGAACGGAGTGTGGGAAGAAAATTGAATTTTAAACATGAAGAACAATGTAACGGTGAAGAAAAGGATCTGGATGCTGCTCGTACTTTTCCTTTCTCCAGACGGCCCCTTCCTCTCGCCACTGGAAGTTTTTGAACCGGAATATTCTTATCCCCGAGACTTTTCTCCGATCGCAGGAAGTATCAGAGTTAGAAGCTGAGAAAGATTAAGGAACGCATAGATGCACAGGACGCTACGGTGCACGAGAAATGCGAAAAAAGATGAAGTGAAAATAGAGAGAGACAGACAGATTGTGTACGTGCGTGAAAGAGAGAGAGAGAGAGACAGAGAGAGACAAACAGAGAGCGAGAGAGAGGGAGAGAGGGAGAGAGGGAGAGAGATTGTGTGCGTTCGTGAAGGAGAGGGAGAGAGGAAGAGACAGAGAGAGAGATAGAGAGAGGAAGATCACCATAAGGTGGTTAAGGCAAATGTAATGATACAAAAAAAATAAGGAAATAAAAGAAGTAAAAATGCAAAGGCAAAGAAAAGTTCAAGATTAAAAGTCTCTAAAAGAGTTAGGGATGACACAAACGAATGTAAGTAAAGAAGCTTAAGCGGCAATGCATATAGGGTTCAAATTAAAAGATATATGGACGATTAATAAAGGGCATTCTCAAATGTTTAAGACGACATTCATTTAGAGAATTCAAATCCAACAAAATAAAATAAGTCGTATTTGGCAGACACCGTAGTACTTTCATGGAAAACACCAGCCCTTAGACTCCCAACAGGGACGATATCGGCCCCCTAGTGGGTGCTGGAACGACGTATTTTTTCTTTTTCTTTAGATAAGAAGTTATACTGTTTCATCGTTTATGACTTTTATTATTATTATTATTATTATTATTATTATTATTATTATTATTATTATTATTATTATTATATTTTTTTAAGTTATATGTGAGAGTTTTGCCTTTCCACGCTTAAGGGATATTTGCAAAACAATTCGAAACCGTCTGTATGCGTAATCGCTTTGTGGAAACTCCGTCGTTCTCTTAGCCAGACCTGCTCATAAACGCATTAACATCTTTTTAGTATCTGTCGATGTAGAAGACAGTTATGCATTCGGACCATCATAGTGATGTTTATCTTGTTCGGGGCGTGACTTTACTTATTAATGTAGTAAAAATATGTCATGTTAATGAATATAAGCGTTTAATACACGAAGAAGAAAAAGATCTGGATGGTACTCGTACTTTTCCTTTCTTCAGACACAGCCCTTTCCTCACTCCACTGGCCTTCCACTCACTACAATTTGATTTTTACTTAATTCTATTTTCATCCTTGATTGAATCTATTATAAAGAATTTGAGAGAGCCCCTAGGCTCATGTCAATGGCTAAGGCCTCCATTAGTTTATTTACGGTATGTACGAGTAGTTCATTGGCAGCGTGCTCGCTTTCCATGACGCGATCTCAGGTTTGATTCCCGGACGGGGAACATTACAGTGTGCGTTTTTTTTGCAAAGTCCCAGTATATGTTGCTCTGTGACGCTGAGAAAGCTCACGTCTCATGTTGAGAAGACCAGATTACGGCGTAGGGATATCTATGAGTTAACCACAAGTACTCTTTAACCCATGGCAGCAAGGCCAGGTCGCCGCCGGTAGATCTTGGTGCCGTCAGAGACTGTTGTGACACTACAGGCAGACGAGAGAGGTGGAAGGCGTTCTGTGAAAGAACAACAACCCGCCGACGCCTAGCTGTGGAGACTCGAGCGCTTTCTGCAAACCGGTTGCCTTCGGTCGGGCGTTGACAACATTCGGACCTGAGACCGACCACGCGCGCTCTCTGCACTGCGCGCGCTGCCACCTCGTAACTCTCACACGTGAGGCAACGTTTCCTTGCTTAAATGAACGCTTCTGCAAATAATTTTATAAATTCTGACATCCATGATGTTTGGAGTGGGTTTCTTGTTAGCTATTGTTCATTAAATCAAATATACTTAAAAATAAATTACATTTCCCCCTCGGCGAATTCCTGCGGCTATCCTTCGCTCTTTCCACAATGATGAGTACAAGAATTCTTCTATTGAATTAGAATGTAACATAATTTCCCTTCACTCATTATTTTCTTCCATTCAAACATCGGTTCAAATCAAGCAACTTCGTGAAATGTCAACCACATATTTTCTTAATTATATGCCTGTATAGAATGGTCTTGAGTTATTTCCAATACATTTTAATATACAAAATAAAGTATTTTTTTTAATGGAAACATCTTGTAACACATATTCATTTTATTTATTTAGATCGGTCAACTAATTTCATGCACTCTTTCCTTATCTTCAAGTCCATTACAATTTCCTAATTTCTTCTGTCACTGCATGGTTGAAACGTTATTTTCTCACTGCCAATTTTATTACATGGTTCATTGATGAATGTAAGCGGCGAACAAGGTGCTGGAAAGTGGCGTTGGGTGTCCGAAAGACTTCAGATCCTGTGAAAGCGCTGCGGACGAGTGTCCTCGCGTCGGGTGTCATGGTCGCCGCTCGCTCAGGAGTTGCCGAAATTCACAAGAGCGGCGTGCGCGGCCAACGCCTCCGCGTTTTACACCGAGCAATCGCCAGGAAAGACTAGCAGCGTTCGTCTGTTTTTTGCAGAATGCACAGCTTTAGCTTGATCTTTTATGATGCGATATTTTATGCCTTGTGATTTTATTAACCGTGCTCTCCATACTTTCAATAACTACCACCCTACAATTAACTTTATTTATGAGTTATTATCTGGCACTAAAAGATTTTTTGATTATTAAACTTCTATTAGGATATTAAAATTAATATCATTTTATTTGATTGTACAAAAAATTGTCACATGCTGGGAGAATGCAGATTTTTTTCACTGCTCACCCCAACCAATACAATATAAGGGTAATTTACAATTTAGTAGATGGTATCAGATGGTCAGATTGTTTACAATTTTTAGTACTTAGCTCTTTGACGTTTAGATATATCAACAAATTATATTATCAAAAATCAATAAAATCCAATCTAACATGCTCAACTCTATTTCGGACCCCCCAGATTGTTCTTCCCCATAGACTGTGACGATTCTCCGTATTATAGTTACATTTCTTGTTATTTTACGATATTAAGAAGCGTCTCCACAATTACCGCATAATGACTGTATTTTAAGTTGAGAAATCACTTTAAAAATGTTTCGTGTAAGTAAATACCCGCGTTTCCGCTGAAATGAAACAAAATTAATTATGAAATCCAGGGCAGCCATCCGGTGTGTGGAGCAATATTGTACCAAATATACCGGGCGTTCCACCAACAAGTACCACCCTCATACCTTCTAAATGATTTACGACGGCCTAATGTAGTTTTCTGCCTAAAATTGAGAACTCATGGGGCAAGTAATATGAAACAGAGATTTATACATATTGACCAACTATTATTACTTCTTTTAATACATTATTTTGCTCTAACTCACAAATATTTATCAGCAATTTATTATGAGGTTCATCATAAAATTTCATATATTTAATTAAAAATATAAGAAAAATACATAGAGAAATTCTGTTGACTGGAGACAAGATATGTCAGGCATAGAAAAAGCTTGTGATGAAGCGGAAACACGAGATCTGACATGAATGGTGCGGTAGTGCGGATACTCACTTTGCATGTGCGCAGAGACGCTCGCGTGCTGCCACGATGGTAAACTCATCGTGGATATTACCGATGATCATAGCTGCAGCCGTTGGGAACGGATTTGTTTTACAGGAACCTGAAAAATGAAATATTTTTTCATATTCAGAAAACAAGTCATATATTGCAATATTCCCTGTATTTAACTGCACTGACGGAGTCATCTTGGTTGTCACCAATTGTTACTTTGGTAATGAAGTAAAAGAACTTTCAAAAGGGAGCAAGCTGATGCTAAAAATCTAAACGGATATTTACTTTTATTCAAAAGCCACTGAGAGATGAGGTTCTAGAGATACTTCATCTGGGGAATTTTATATTGTGGGTAAAATTTGTTTTGAGTGATACATTTAGTTAAAGAGAAGAATATAAGCAACAAAACATTTATTTTGTCATTGAGAAATATTACATTAAGCATAGCATAGAAACTAAATATTGTACATTAATTAATCTCCGTCTTGACATAAGTATAATCTAACATTAACTGTAAAATTATAAGAAAAAACCCTACTAGGAGTTTATTACTCTGTCTTTTATATAAAAGCACAACAAAACAAACAACATGCATACAGAAACATGAAACTAAAAAATTCTCATTGAGTAAAAGATGGATGACTTTGGATTCTATGTTAACACTTATTTTATTTTATTTAGTCTGGCTTAGTTTTACCGTATTAAAATAAATCATAGATCATTTTATTAGGAATATTTTTCTATCACATTTTTACTAGTATTCTAATTGAAATACATTTCTTTTCTATTCACCATTCATTTCTATTAACTTCATTCTTATTAAATCAAGCACTGATATGATTAACAATTCAGTAAGATAAATTTAATATCTGTAGACACAATCTGAATTAATAGTTCTTAATATGATAATATATCAGATTTAAGTACTTACATCTTATTTCTGCAATCATTCAGTTCTGATTTCAATGCATTTCTATTTATAAGTTCATCGTCTCAATACAGTGAATTGTATTCTAAGAGTTATAGGATTGCGATAGCACAAACAATTTCTGATTCTGGGTTTTCTCATTCACTTGTTTATGTTAAGCAGTTATGCAACCACTACAAACATATAATAACGACAATAAATTTATTTCGGATTATTTAAGTGAACTCCCGTAGGAAAACACTGGGAACTATTTTGCCACGCTGATCCAATAACACCTGGTCAAAACGTGGATTTCATTAGAGAAAGTAATACGACAGACGATAGTAGTGGTCATAGACATCTGGTAGAGCAGTGAGTAATAAGTCAGGAAAAGTATCAGTGGAAAACGAATATATCAAGTTAATGTGGTTTGTTTCTTTCGAAAAAATGTGTTTGTATCGTGAAAAGTAATTGTCGTTCTGTTTTATTCTTAGAGGATTATCTACACCAAGAATTTATAGGGTCGGTTTCAGAAGGGTCGCTCAGCTATTAACGTGGAAATAGGTAGATGGAATGAAAAATAGTTGCATTTATAAAGAATTTGTCCTTTCTTTGTTTTAGATTGACATCAGAGTGAAGTGTTACGTTTCTAACAAACCACAGGGCTTTGGTTGCAATACAAATAATTTTGTTTTTAAAACTACAACAGGGTCATTATTTCCATAAACCTTCAGCGTATTTCCATGTAATGTATAATCTTCTTTAGGTAATCTCGTCGTGTTCTATGTAGACAGTGGTATACTAATAAGGGTCAGTGATGGACCCTAGTGTATATTTTTTCTGTTTGTTTCCGTAAGTGGTTAATGTTGCGTAAGTGAAATGCTTTGTTATTTAATGTTTTTAACCTTAAGTGATAGTTTTAAAAATGTGTTACTGTTTCAACATTTATCAGAAGTTTGCCAAACATTCGATATTGTCGCCATGTGTGGAGAATTTGTGGAGAATCCAGCGTTGATTTGCAGCCAGGTCTTCTGATAATCACGTTTCTTTAATTTGATTTATTTTGTAAAAAACAGTTAAAACTGTATGGGGAGAAGTAAAATCCGGGCACTGCCAGAAAATATCTTACCGCAAAATACACGCTACGTGCTTCAAAGAGACTGTCTGAACTTGAATGAATTCTCAATGCATAACATAATGAAGTTAATTTAGTGTTCGATTCATTTCAATGGATATTTAGTTGAGGTTTGACTAGATTGAGAAACTCAAAAAATTGTTTTGCTATCATAAGGAAATTGGATATTGTTCATTTTAAATAACGCATGCAATTGTCAATTTGAAATGCAAAACTACATTGAAAATATTTCTGCCTTCTTTAACTAATGATCGCTGATCACGTCTGCAAACCTCCCGTTCGATTTAAACACATCCGCAACAAACAAGTTGAATGGGAGTTACCCACTGAGAAGGGAGGTGACGTGTAGAAAAAGTCTGCAATCAGTGAAACATTGTGAATATTCAACGAGTTCGAAAAAAGGACGTGACCATACGTGTTTCAGGGGAAATTGATTGCAAGTAAAGAAAATATTCAAAATATACACAGAAGTGCCAAAAATGGTACACCTGCCTAATATCGTGTAGGGCCCCTGCGAGCACGTAGACGTGTCGCAACACGACGTGCCATGGCCTCGACCAATGTCTGAAGTAGTGCTGGAAGTACTTGACACCATGAATCCCGCAAGGCTGCTCATAAACTCGTAAACGTACGAGGGATGGAGATCTTTTCCGAACAGCATCTAGGATATGCAAGGCATCTCAAATATGCTTAATAATGTTCATGCCTGGGGACTTTGGTAGCCAGTGGAAGTGTTTAAATTCAGAAGAGTTTTCCTGGAGCCACTCTGCAGCAATTCTGGACTGTCGCATTGTCCTACTGTAACTGTTCAAGTTCGTCGGAATGCACAATGGACATGAATGGGTACAGACAGGATGGAGATCAAACAGGAAGCTTACGTACGTGCAATTTGTCACAGTTGTATCTAGATGTATCAGGGGTCTCATATCACCCCAACCGCACACGTCAACAACTAGCACAGAGCCTCCAGCTCAAATAGACTCCTGTTGACATGCAGGGTCTATGAATTTATGAAGTTGTCGCCAGAATCGTACACGTCCATCCGCTCGAAACAATGTGAAACGAGTCTCGTCACACCAGGCAAAGTGTTGCCTGTCATCGACAGCCCAATGTCGGTGTTGATGGGCCCAAGCGAGGCGTAAAGCTTTGTGTCGTGCAGTACTCAACGGTACACGAGTGATCTTTGGACTCCACAACCCAATATCGACAATGTATCGTTGAATGGTTCGCACGTTGACACTTGTTGATGGCCCAGCATCAAAATATTCTGGTATTTACGGAAGGGTTGCATTTCTGTCACGTGTAATGATTCTCCTCAGTCGTAAAGTCGTCTCCTCAGTCCCGTTTTTGCCCGATCTTTTTGCAGCCGCGGTGATGCCGCAAGTTTCATGTTCAACCGGAATCCCGATATTAACGCACACTTGTGGAATGGTTGTACGACAAAAATACAAATTTCAACGCAACTTCGGAGATGCTATGCCCCATCTCTCTTGCGCGGTCTCTACCACGTTCAAACTCACTTAAATCGTAATATCCTGCAAATGTAGCAGCAGTAACCGATCTAACAACTGAACCAGACTCTGGTTGTCTTGTATAGTCATTGCCGACCGGAGCGCCGTATTATGAATGGTTCCGGGTCTTTATTTAAATACGCATGGCTGTGCCAGTTTATTTGGCTCTTACATGTATATGCCCTTGTCATACTTAATAATTGAAAATATATTAACATAAATTAATTTTAATATATTTACAAATGCATGTAGTAATAGTTATTAAATAACAACATTTTCCTTCAATTACATTTCATTTTTTCTGGTGTTTACTGTTGAGCCCTCCCATTTGTGTATACCTGGTACCGGAATGAGGAATGATATTGAAAACAACCGTTCAATTCATTAAGAAAACATGTGATTTAATTTGTCTGTTTTGTAAAGTGGAAAATGTGTTTTGTCATTCACATTAAGGAACTGGTTCGATTCAAAATATGCTTCTTTATATACTAAATATATAAATAAAAATTTTAAAATTATGAAAAATAAAACAAGTGATTTTTACATAAAATAAATTAAAAGGTGAACCAGTCTCTTCTATACTATATTTCAGTGAGATAATCTTTGGTGCGGTTCGTCAATATAGTTAAGTGATGAAAAAACGTGTTGGCCTCCGAGAAATGGGGGAGTTATTTTACATTATCGAGTTGGAAAATTGGGACATAATGAATAGAAATGTTTTCTTATTGAAGACAATACTTTCCGATAATAAGAGAATGCCGGAGAGATGATTGTTGTAGGTAAAAGATGGTAAATAGATAACCTAGGGTTTTGATACATCTTACAAAAATTATCCAAATGTCCATAGCCGCCCTTTGAGACAAAAACGCTAGTTTCCGCTTTATAACGCATTAGAACCAAAATAGTTTTGAGTATCTGCGTAAAGGATATAATGTTCCGAAATGGCAAAAACGAGATTTTTTCCTAAGTGAATGAAAAAAGTTAAATATACTTGTGTGAAAAGAGATTGGAGCAATACCACTTATCTGTTATCGTTTGTATATTTTGGTTATGTGAAAAAATCACGAATTTTTTTGGAGTATAAAGAGAGCTATGTTCAGATATGGATGAATGAACTAAAGAATATTGATTGGCTTCTCTTCATAACTGTCTAGATTTCGCGGAGATAGGTTTAAAACGTAAAAATAAGTATGTAAAATTTTAAAACACGTTTTTCTCAAAACTATTACTTGAGAATAACACCCTTCATGCAACAGACACAAATTAGTGCTACAGATCGCGTGTGTTCATTGCCTCGTCTGTGCACCCAAGAGCTCTGTTGGAGCTATCTGGTAGCATCAGTTTTGCTATATTTATCGGAGATTTTTGTGTTATTAAACTATATCAGATTGCTGCAACGCGTAAGTAATAATATGAAAGTTCGACACAATGTCCAAAAATCATCAAGAGATAGTCCTGAGCAACCCTCTCAAACCGGAACGCTGGTTTCCGCTGTTTAATAAGCACCAGGTGTTCGCCGCTCGCCGCTTGCATGCTTTGGCAATTAAGCTGGCTGCCGGGGGCTTTGGGCGGTCTTCCCCGCGAGATAGCGAGCAACGCGCCGACTAGATAAACCCCGAAAGGATTTGCGGCTGCCAGCGGTTGCCTCTCAAAACAGCGCGACCGGCAGGCCAAGA